ATGTAGAGGCAGAAACAACAGGACGTGGCTCACATCGGTCTTCACGACGCCGGATTGTCCGCAGTTCGATGCCAACGGGCTCATGACGGGTGTTCAAAGTTCAGCACTTTCGTGTCCCCATGGTGATACTTGAGCAAGCCTCCACTTCTATGTAAGGCTTCGGAACAGTGGCATGGTAACAGCAACGGACATCGTGGCAGCGCCTCTCCGCCATGCGCTGACATCGACTCTTGCCGAAACATGTACAACGAGGGGACGTGCAGCTCTCGGAGGTTGCTTGAGCTTGCACTGGTAGCTTTCTCGTGTTCGAGCTTCGAAAGTTGCTTGATAGTGAGACCACTCCACCAGCGAGTGCACATTACCCTGAGCCATACATATTCAAGGACATGGATGAGCTGTGCTGAGCAGACTGAGACAGAGATACTGATCATGGTTCGTTGGTGGGAGAGGACCAGAGCAACACGCGGTGAACGGCAGCACTGCCACTTTGGCGCTCCGCCACCACACGGTCACAGGTATGACGCCGCGTGTGTGTCGTCCGACTTGGTTCACGACTGACTGCCACTTTGTAGAGCTTCGACGCGCTGAGTAAATTCACCCCAATCGCACAACGGCCATGTCTGTCGCCGCGATCGACGACAAGACGACGATTCCGGGAGAGTACGCCGGTGGGGACGTGCCGACACCATACGCCGAGGACGTTCCCGAGGGCCTCCGACGCGCAACCGGAAGGCTGCAGTTCCCGCCGTCGTATGTCGTAGTTGGGTTCTACAGGCTCGTCACGGACAAGAACCTGCGTGGTGCTGCGTGGCAGAAGTGCAAGCACGGGTTCGTACGCGGTGCCTCCGTCGGGCTCCTCTGGGTGAGTGTTCGCGATGATCACTGGTGGACCGAACCCGCCTACCACGACATGCTGACACCTCGTGCAGGCAGCTGGAACGTACAAGATCCAAAAGATATTCGTCGAGTACTTTCTCATCAAGTGAGCGTGCACCATTCATCGACCCTCAAAACTGCTCACATACGCTATGTAGTTCCCCTCGTGTGACGGGCCTTTCCCGGGATGGCCTCTTCGGCATTTCGATGCCGTTCGACGTTCCTACCTGTGCGTCCTCTATCGCAAACCGTCATTGCTACCATCTGTTGTTCCGACTGACAAGGCATATCCATACAGACGCGACTCTCTTCTTCTTGTCCAGCCAAGTCTCGGCGATCATCTACTTCTTCCTCTCGCGCAACATCCGCATCGCGCGCGAACGTGCCTACGAGCAGACCATCCAGTCCCGCGGCAAGGGCCCAGACTGGTGGCGCCCGTACGTCGAGGAATGGGACAACCCCCCAAAAGTGGTGAAAGTCAGCTGGGGCTGGAGGGTGTTCATGAGCGGTCCCGTAGGACGGATTGTCGCGAAAGGTGGGACTCGGATACCACTCAAACGGGATTGCCGACGGATACTAACTGAACCACACTTTGAAGTCATCGCATTTCCGCTGCACTTCGTCCCCTTTGCTGGGATGTTCATTGTGGCTTGGTTCAGGGCTCTAGGGACGGCGCGGTACCTGCACGAGCCCGTAAGTCCCACCTTGTTCCGCGTGCTGCATACGCTGACCCCCGGGCTTCCGGGTGTTGCAGTACTACAAGGCAAAGCACATGACTCCTGAGCAGATAGCTGTCTTCATCGAGGAGCGCAAGTGGGATTACCGAGGTACGTAGTGTACGGCCGACCTCTCTTTGTGATATACCGCTGAACACTGCCCTCTTCGCAGCATTCGGTTTCGCAGCGGCGCTTGCAGAGCGCATGCCCATCGTGGGCCTCATCTTCTCGATCTCGAACCGCGTTGGCGCGGCAATGTGGGCGCATGGTATGCTCTTCTCCCGCTGTCATCTGGAAAGTAGCGCACTGAACGCGGTGCCGCAGACCTCGAGAAGAGACAGCACTACGTCGCCGCTGTGAAGGCGGGACTCGCGCCTGGGGCTTACGATTCGAGCATGAGCGTGAAGCCTAAGGTAGACTAGGAAGGCTTGAGGTTACCTCCGTGCGTAAGTAGTCGAAGTTGTATCGCAGCCACTTTGCATCATCCCGGACCTGGTGTTTTCACAAACTCAGTCGCTGTTGGTGCTTGGGTTGACGTATAATGCATGCGTTTGAAGGTATGTACTGACTTGGAGCCTTGCTGCAACTTGCAAGGCGGCCCGCATGTCCTCCTTGATCGTCCTTGATCTGCTGAGGCGTGCAAGACTACTCAACGAAGTTCCACTTGCCATCACGATTCACCATAGCACTGTGAGCAGCCACAGCTCTCTGCGATCCCATACTTACTGTGTGCACCACGCCGAGGAAACCACCAGGACCACACCAGGACTTGCCTCCAATGCCTGACCCACACGCTCTCCGATACTCGGGAACCTCGGCGTCGTAGTCATAGCGGAATAGTAAGTACAATCGCGCGCCTCAGGGAGTTCATCGCACAATTCCAATTTCCCTCGCGTGGGCGTGCTCGCACCCGGTCCCCTGTATGTTGTCCCCACACTCGCCTCCGACCTCGACGTTCCGTTCCCAGTACAGTCTGAGTATATATACCCAGCAGCGCACACACGTAGGTACGCGTTGACCAGCCTCCAGCCTTGAATCGCGTCCGACGTCTGAACCATGTCCTGCCCCGACTGCGTCACCGGCTACGTGCACACCGACACGCCCAAGGGCACCGAGATCAAGGTCGCGGACATCAACGCGTACGCAACCGGCGACGAGGCCTCCAAGCGCATCATCGTCATCGGCGCGGACGTCTTTGGGTGGAAGCTGGTGAACACGCGGCTGCTCGCGGACGAGTATGCCGCCAAGGGCTTCAGGGTGATCGTGCCCGACTTCTTCAATGGTGAGCACCCTCCAAATTGCGTACAACCGCACGCGTGTCCCTCCTTGCAAATGCACAAGTTCCCTAGCGAAGGTGCACCGGAGCTGAAGCGCTGACCGCTCGCACCACACAGGCTGGGAGCTCCCGACGTGGACGATGAACGCACACGACCCGAACGAGTCCTCGCGCTCCTTCTTCAAACGCTACGTCCTCGTGCCCGCGTCGCTCTTCATCATGGTGCCCTGCGTCATCAGCAACATCGGCAGCCAGGTCTCCCGGGTCACGTCCATCGTCTCCGCGCTGCGCACCGCGCACCCCGACGCGAACATCGGCTTCGTCGGCTTCTGCTTTGGCGGCCGCTTCGCCATCTCGCAGAACTTCCAGTTCGACGCGACGGTCGCCTGCCACCCGTCCCTCGTGAAGTTCCCCGCAGAGCTGGACGGGATCAAGGGCCCGTTCAGCCTCGCGGTCGCGGCGACGGACCGTGCGTTCGATGCGGCCAAGGCGAAAGAGACGGAGCGGATTCTCAAGGAGAAGGGCTTGAAGGACATCGAGGTCGTGGTGTACGAGGGTGTGTCCCACGGTTGGGCCGTTCGCGCGAACCTGGCAGACGAAAAGCAAAAGCAGGCGAGGGACGATGCGGTGAAACAGGTTGTCGGTTGGTTCGAGAAGTACCTGACGAGTGACCATGCCGAATCCTCGACGCCTGCTACCTCCTGAGGCTCCCGCTGCCTGGATATTTGTGTGTGATACCCGCATGGCTACGCCGTGCTATAGATATGAGCATTCTCCAACCTTCTTGACTATGAACAGTTAGATAGATACATGCGTTGCGGAGTCCATGTACGATGTCCGAGCGTGGTAAGTTAGTCCTGGTCTGCCTGCTTGGGAGCCTGCTTCGACTTCCGTACCACACATCATGTCAGCATAGTTCTGGCACAGAATAAACCACACGCACCACACCAGCCTTGCGGGCGTCGCCCTGGTCGGTCGGGCCACTCTGAGAGGTACCAGGGTTAGAACGTGTCGTTGGTTTTTCCTTCTGCTCGTGGTCGGTCTCGGACTCCTCGGTCTGACCCGGAGCACCGCTCGCGTATTTGTCCTCTTGCGCCTCCTCGCGCTGCGCGTCGGCAGGTGAGTCGGCGTTCTGATCACAGATGAAGATGAGTATACACTTCAGCATGCGGCACAAGCGGAGATAGGACCGCAAGCTACGTACAGATGCCTGGTTCAAAGACGCGTTGACATCGTCGGCGGACGCGGTATTGCCCTCGGAATCTGTCAACTCAGAAGCACCAGATGCATTGCCGTCGTCGGGAGTAGGAGCGGAGCCCTGCGAGAGATATCAGCTGTGCTGGTGAGAGTCTAGGGGCACACTCGAACTCACCTCCTCAGCAGCATGGGCATCCTTCGGTGAGTCGGCGTCCTGCGGAGAGGTCAGTCCCTGCAGCACCGCGTCGCATAGACATGTGTGCGTACGATTGCCTGCTTCTCGGAAGCATCTACGTTGGAAGTGGGTTCAGACGCATCGGCGCCATCATCATGGACAGCGCCGTGACCTGCCGTCTGGTGCTTGGACGCGGCAGTGTGTGCAGCCTTGCTTTTAGCGGTGGGCGTGAGGAGATACGCCATCTGTAATGCTGCCGTGAGCTCGCCCTCACCCTCACGTCATAGCACACGATACGCACCACGGGGCCGAAGACGAGTGCAGAGCCAATCTGCACATGAGCGGGCCATCAGACACGTCCGCCATTTTTCTACAATGCCACGTACGATCCAAGGCGTGTCGCTGCTCTGCTTCGCGGCATGACTTGGGCTTGTGCTGGCAAACCGACGGCCGGCAGGAGCGGAGACGCGTGCAGCGGGGCGTACGGAGTGCGCGAGTACGCGACGAGCAAGTCGAGAGGCCATCATCGTCAAACAGTAAAGGAGACGGTGAGAAGGGTGGCGGGAGATGCACTGGGATGCAGACTTGGACAGGAGCAGGGTCGGTGGGAGACAACTCGGACTCGAACCTCTCGGAACCCTTCAGCGTCTCCGTCGGACGCGCTTCGGGCGATGACGTCTTCCTCCGATCACTTTCATTATTCGCGCGTGTGATGGCAAACGGGATAGCAACGTATTTGTAGCGGTCGCAATACAGACATGCCCGCCTAGCTCAATCGGATAGAGCGTGAGACTTTTACGAACACTCAGGTGCTTGTGATCTCAAGGCTGCGGGTTCGACCCCCGCGGTGGGCTGAAACTTATCGAACACAACTCTTTTGCCGCTGCCGTTCGACAACACTCATCTATAGGTTGGCCTCGCGAGCATCCCAAACTTCGAGCCAGAGTCGTCAGACACCACGTCCACACAATGCTACAAGCGTTCTTGCTGCACCTAAGTATTCACCTGTCATCTCATGCACACAAGTCCGAGCGCTCCATGGGGCCACTCTTGAGCTTGAGTCCTTGCCACCAGCTGGAGACACGCAAAGACACGCAGACCTCGACAGCTGCTCGCTTGATCGTCGTCTGGCGACATACATTTGCGACAGTGATATCTCGGCCGGTGTATGAACATGCCGGCTCCTTCTGCCGACTCTCTTGCTCATCGCGCTCGCCTCGCGACACTCATCTCTGAACTCCGTCCGACGCATTTCCGCGCACCTTTGACAAGGCTGCGAGCGCATCGTCTTCCGACGCTATGGACATTGTACAGGGGACTGCTGCGCGACGCGCCATCTGAGACGGTACGTTTCCTGCGGATGAAACGGGCGTTGCCCAGGCTGACTTGGACCATGTCAAGATTAGGTCGCGCATACGGGTGTTCTTCCATAGCCGTAAAGCCTTGCGTGCGCAAGGTGATGTTACCAGAGATTTGAAGACGGCCCACAAGGTGCGTTGATGTCCCGTTCCGCTGACATTTGGGTTGACGGACTGCGTCATGGCCAAAGTGGTGGGATGTCTTCCGGGAGGCTCGCGCTGGAGATGCGCATCTCCAGGCTGTGTGTGCTCGGTATAGCAGGATGCTTGAGGGTGCGCGGGCACAGGCTGAGGCGGACAAGGTCTACGACGAAGAATTGGTGCGTACCACGCGCGTACATGAAACTGTCTGCCCCTCACAGACGACCTACAGGCCTGGTACGAGAGGATGCGAACGCGTCCGATCATGACTGGGGCCTATCTGCGCCCGAGTCTTTACAACGGACCCCTCCCCCGTCTCGCCCCCCAACCTCTGCACATTACTGGCATGATCACCTCCAGACGTAAAGCCCGTGTGCGTCGTATGGCGCGACACGAAGTCTGCCACGAGGACCTCACATTACTCAATGCCGAGGGCCACTTCGAGCGCGCTCTTGCTGTCTCCAGTTCCGCAGAGGGCGCGCAGCTCACCCGAGTCTTCACTGATGATCCTAACGGCTGGCGTATGTGCCCAATTGACCTGCTCTAGAGCGATCAATATGCTGACCAGCTTCGGCTCAAGGCGAACCCATCAAGCAAACCATGGACAGCGTGTCTGAAGCATTCCAGCGGGAGAAGGCTCGCCTGAATGCTCCATATCCACCTGAGATGCTCGAGGCGATCAAGGAGGCGCGACGAGAGAAGATCCGGAACAAGACTCGGGAAGGCGAGCGGGAGCGACGGGGAGAGATGACGAACCGCCTGTCGAAGCGGATGCGGCAGGGCCCGCCGGCGCATGTCCTCGCTCTGATGACGGATGAGCAGAGGCGGATGGACCGCGTTGCGCGTGGTGCGAGCGAGGTCGGGTTTGTTGGCCATGTGAAGCGCAGGCTAGGATTCAGGTTGGTGGACGGTGAGGCGGGGAAGGTGGAGCTGGGCCAGCCGGAGAATCGAGAGACCTTGGACAAAACAGCGGAGGAAATCGCCCAGGAGAACGAGCGGCGGAGGGTTAGTTCGGAGGCAGGTCTTTGACAATGTTCTAGCGGTAGGTGAGTTCATTTTCCTCCAATGTCGCCACGACGGCGCTGAAATCAGCCTGCAAGAACCAGTAAGTACAGTACTCTACATGTCGCACGGGGCGCGTCTTCAGCAGGTGTCAGGCGTGGAGTATAGCCAGTGTCATACCACATTGATGTCTATATCAGCGATCCTATAGAATGCAACCCCGCCGCCGACATAGCAACCGTGGATAGTACTGTCTGGTGTTTCCCCGGTCCCACAGTGGGTCCAGTGGGACTCCCACTGGTCACGACTCACCTCGTGACTACAATCACCGGTACTTGCATGCTCACGGAGGTATTTGGCACAGGAACATCTAGATCATGCAGTGGGTATTTATGCCCACGCTGACCTGAGATCTCACGTCGTGAAACGGACTCTCTTTCCGCGTACACGACAAGCAAACGCTCTCACGAGGATGAAAGATCAAGACATACTGTATGCTCTGCTGGTGGCAGTTGTTGTCGTCTACATCGCTCGATGGCGTTATGACCCGGTACGCTTCGTGTCGGTCATCGAGGGATGCATTGCTAACGTCCGGGCCCCCGCAGCTGAGGAGCATCCCGACTGTCGGCGGCCCTTCCATCCCTATCTGCTCGTACTGGAGCGCACTGAACTTCCTCATCAATGCGAGGAGGTTGCTCACGGAAGGCTACAAGCGGGTAAGCACGACAGGAGTCCGCTTGCCAGCATCTAATCCCCTCTTTACCACCATCAGTACTATGGGTCTGCGTTCAAGGTAGCGTTGTTCGACCAGTGGCTGGTGGTCGTCTCCGGACCGAAGTTGGTCGATGACCTGCGCAAACGTCCTGATGACGAGGCGTCGTTCACTGAATCGGTAGAAGAGGTACGAGGATCTACTATATCTCGCATGGCCTATGTCTCACCACAATCAGTAGATTCTGCAAACGCGGTATACCTGGGACCGTGAGCTCGTAGACGACCCGTACCATCTCGACGTCATCAAGGATCAACTCGTTCGAACACCTGCTGCCGCCCTCCCGGACGTCTTCGACGAGCTCGGCTCAGCGATACCGGAGTATATCCCTGCACGGGACGACGGTACGCTCATTGAGTATCTATGTGGACTGTCCTGACGTTCTGTGCTGAAGAATGGGTTCAGATCAACATAATGCAAGCATCGCTGAAGATAGTTGCCCGCGCTAGCAGCCGAGTCTTCGTCGGCCTTCCGCTGTGTATGTGGCTTGTCCTCCTGTACGTGATGCACCTTTGCTGATGTAGCATACAGGCCGCAATGACGATTACCTGAACCTGGCTATCAAGTTCGCCGTAGACCTCTTCAAAGACCTGTATATCCTCGGCCTGGCCCCTGCCTCCCTGAAGTTGTAAGCATATATGGTGTGATTGGAGCGTCATCGCTTGTTGAGCTCATGCTCTCCCTAGCTACGCATCTCGATGCTTCAGTGCTGCAAGGAAGACCATTCGTCAGTCTATGACACATATTCAACCTCTGCTTGATGAACGGAGGGCAAAGATGGATATGTACGGCGACGATTACCCCGGGAAGCCCGTGAGTTATCCATTCAATAAGTACCATCGACTTTGGACCCATCATCTTCTGGCCTCCCTATCGCGGTCACACAGAAGGATATGTTGCAAGGGATCCTGGAGAAAGCAATCCCACGTCGCAGCCCTGATTCCCAGATCACCGAACGAATCATGTCGGTCAATGTCGCAGCGATTCATACCTCGTCAAACGTACGTAGCGCCTCCTCATAATGGTCTCCCGTCTTACGTACGCTCACTTGCATGCCATTCTCAAGGGTATTTCGCATGCGCTCCTCCATGTCGCCGCGGCCCCGGAATATATGCAACCATTGCGAGAAGAGGCTGAAGGTGCTATCACGACTGACGGTTGGACAAAGACAGCGATGGATAAGATGTGGAAGATCGACAGCTTCCTGAAGGAGTCGCAACGCGTCAACGGCGTCAGTCTCAGTAAGTGGGCTGTAAAGATGGGCGTATCATCTAGATCGCAAAACTGACCGCAAGCCACAGCCGCCATGACCCGGAAGGCGATGAAAGACATCGTACTGGCTGATGGCACGTTCGTACCCAGAGGGACGTTGATCACAGCTGCATCGTATCCGACGCACCACGACGAGGCGCTGTACGAGAATGCCCTCGTGTTCGACCCTTTCCGCTACGCGCGCATGCGCGCGGCTGAAAGCGAGGGGATGAAGCACCAGTTTGTTCATACTTCCGTCGATAATATTTCCTTTGGACACGGCAGGCACGCGTGGTGAGTCCCGGGATACACGTGGTGGTACGGAGCTGACCGCACAGCACGCAGCCCGGGGAGGTTCTTCGCCGCGAACGAGTTGAAGGCGATGCTTGCGTACATCGTCCTCAATTATGACCTCAAACTTCCAACTAGCGGCCCACGCCCCGACAACCTCTACTTCAGCAGCAACGTTATTCCTCCACCCGTCGCGGATATCTTGTTCAGGCGAAGACGACAGACTGTGGGATGATTGTGAGTACACGATGTCCTTTGCGGACCGCGCCAACTGGGTGTACCAGTTCTATGTATGAAGATATCCAGTTCCCGCACTTTTATATAACAGGATTGTGGTCGTCAAAGCTGCCAGCCGGAGAATCACTACATGAACCTGTACGGCCGTACCGCTTTGCTCATCTCAACTTGGAGTCGTAGGTCCTCCCTGCCTCGATGGTCGCCGAGTATCATCTCGAAGTTCGACTGAATTTTGACGTGAACACTCATCATGATACGATTGAAGCAGAGGATTGGCTCATTTTACTTTCTTCGCCGAATCCGGACTTTGTCTTGGCTTGCTGTGCCAACGGTGTTGACGTATCAGGTCCAGCGCATCGTGAGCACATGTGTTCGCCTCTTATGTGCCCGACGCCCTCACCGTTGCTGTCACGCACATCTTTTGTCCGCCAGGAAGTGAATTGTCGGACCTCATGGACTACCTAACGCCAGGGGGGTTGCCAGACCTGCTGTCACAGAAAGGTTCCCTCGGCCGTTGACTCGTGACATCTGATGCAAGCGGACGTCGCATGCTGGTACGTCTAAATGTTCCCTGCAGTGCTGAGTGCTCACTGTCTCAGTTCAGACCATCACCTAACTGCGCGGTGCAGCCCCTTGTGCCTGTTGAGCTTGAAGACCCGGTCTTCTCAATGCCGAGGAATGCATGCGCTCGACCAGTGTATCCGCAGGCATGGAAGGTGCGAACAGACCTGAACCCTGGATGCTCCCCATTCAGGCAGACAGATGGTCTCCTCGGTCCATACCAGCGCAAAAGTTCAACTCT